ATCTATTACTAATAAATTGTGTTCCTATATTTATAAAATTTCATTTACGGATAAACTCGAAAAAAACTTCTGTTAATGAGAAAATCTTTTGTCCCTCTGTAACATATACCAACCGATGAAAAACGTAGATCGTTGTTCCCTCAGTTTTGAAATTTTGAAATAGATATTTGTACTAAATAATTTTTTTTTCCAGTACGGATAATATTCCATTAAAAGAAAGCTATTATGGTCATGTCTAATAGTGTAGTATTGATTATAATTGTAATCGTAAAATAAGAACTTATTATATTGTAAATCTCTCTTTAAACATTAAGTTATCTTCAAGAAACAATAAATCATTTCAGATTAATCAAAAACTTTATTTTAACTAATTTATTTTGAAATTTTTTAGTTATTCTTTATTTTTTATTAAAAAAGCGTATGTTATATTATAAATAGATTTATTTTGTATTATATAATTTAATTAAAAAAATATTTTTTCTTTTACAGATTTTTGTTTTGATTAAGCTTCTGCAATGTGAAAATGTAAGTTTTTTTCTTGTTTTATTTCTTTTTCAAAAATTTATATAAGCTCAATAATTTACTTTTATTTACTTTATCAGATAAATTATGCATAGGAAAATCAGTTTAAATTACAAATCTGTAAACATTATTAGAACATAAATAAAAAATAATTTTTCTTTGCACAAATTGTGTTGTATAATAGTTTATACATAGTGTATTGTCCGACTTCTTTGTAAATAATCCTTAAACAATTATTGATAAATAAAAATAAATTTAAATACATTGAATATTTTACAAACAGGCATAAAATTTTATAGATAAATTCAAGGGCGCCGATGGGTCCTAATATACAGTTGCAAAAGCTCTTTAAATTCACTAATAAAAATTCCTAAATTTGCAAAAAGATTTCTTTTCTTTTTATCTCTATCTTGTTTTTAACTTAGGAGGAATTTAAATCGATGACTAGTCATGAAAAGCTCCTTTATTTGTCTGAATTATTGAGATGGTGTTTTAAACTAAACTCAGTAGAGTGACAGCCCATAGAGGGCCAAGGCCTACTGTGTCCATCTCAGTTTTCTTGAACTTAGGCTCTGGGGTGCAAGAGCAGATGTTCCGGTCAGGTGGTCAGCTGAACGCGGAACCCTCAGTGTTTAGTTCCCAAGCTTGCTTGGTACTCATTTATCGACCCACTGAAAGGCTGAGTCAACCTTGCCCAGCCCGAGTATCGAACCCAGGTGGTTCGGGAGCACGAAGCGCTACCACTCAGCCACCGGGCGTCGAGATGGGCTTTTAGGAATTTCTAATAATTGAGAGGAATATATACCCACCATCCTCCATTACCAACGACGTCGATATGTAAATATTATTTAGAATTTTTAGATTTGTCAATGATAAACATACCTATTTTATTCATTATAAATACAATCGCACCTCTATTTAACGAAGTCGCTAAATCCCGAAAATAAATTCGCTATATGGAAAATTCGCTAAATAGAAAACTACCTTTTGAAATACTTAAACAACACAAAACAGGTTTTAAATTCATTAACACTAGATATAATTCAAATAGAAAGGGATACACCTTTATCTTGTAAACTAGAATCTGATACTTATTTAATAAATCTTAACCATAAAAGAAATCTGCATGGAAAGCAAGAATAGAGCAGAACATTATCCAGCGTTACACTATCATGCAACATACATTTTCAACTAAAAAAAAGCTAAATTTGTGCATAATATTATAGCTGCATTTATTATAAAAGTAATTTTAAACATACTGCATGCGTTCTTAAGTTTAATTGCTACCTATAAAATCCCTTAATTTTGTCTGAGTTTTTCGTTTGAAATGCAAACAAAAAATAAAAGGGATTTTACTGCTTTCTCTAAAAGTTTAGTGGCTTCCAAAATCAATTCAAGGTCATTTCCCCCATAAAATGCGTTAACAAGTTTAAAATGTTCCGAAATATTTTTGGGAAATCGGGAAAGTGAATCTAAAGAAAAGTTCGTTAAGTAGAAAATTCATTTCGCTATTTAGAAGTTATTTTACGAAGAAATTTCCAAAATGTTCTTGGTTCCTCGGAAAAAAAACATAAAATAGAAAAATTCGCAAAATGGAAGTTCGTCAAATAGAAGTCCGACTGTATATAATAATGTGCGTAACCCCGAAAGTTTTTTTTTTCTATAAATTCATTGTTAAGAATAATCTGATGGCCTTAAGACCAATAAAAAAAAAATTTATAGTGTGAATTTTAGTTCGGTAGAAATTAAATAAAAACTATAATAACAACTTTATAATAACAACTTTATTGCGTAAGTAATGAATATTTAGTACATATAACATAAATATCAATCGAATTCAAAATTAGTTGCTATTAATGTTATTCTTTCCACCTTCCGAGAAATGCCCCAATGGGCCTCCGCAGCAATTTGTGTGTCACGAGTCGTCGCGCATACGGCAGGTGACTTTCGATTAATCAATTATTCATATCAATCTGAATCTGTATCTTACTTGAATGGCATAAAAATCGAATGTTTCCGCAATCTTGCTTGGCAATTCATACTTTCACTGTTACCGCAAGGCTACAATTATGGGATTATAGCTAATACCGTTCAAGAGTTCATTCCATTTTACTTTACAAACGAAACGTAACGAATTTTTTTTTTTTTAAATAAAATTTAAAAAAAATAAAAAACAGTAGGATTTCTGTCAGAAAAAATTTGACGTTTCAAGATTGTAAAGACATTTCTTAAATTCTCAAAGTATTAGTTAAACGGAAACATTTAAAATGATTTTTTTTTTTTTTTTTGAATATCAGGTATGTTTGAATATTATTGAATATATGTTTTTTAATAACTATCTGAATCACGATTTTAATTCATTGATTAGATAAAAAAAAACAGTCAATGATTTAAATCATTTAGGTAACATTAATTACCATGCTTTTAAAAATAGTTTGAATAGTGAGAAAAAAAATTCCTTGGCATGCCTAGACATTAACAATCTTATTAACTTTAGAATATTTTACATGAACTTGCAAAGCACTTTTATATCATAAGGTGTTGCTATTATTTTCTCAGATCAATATGGTGACCCAGCGATGGCTGGTTGATACGAATAATGCTCCCAGCTTGCGTCGACCACAATGCTGACGTAAGATACTCTCATTGGTAAACGGATTTTCAGAATCTCTTGCCTTCGGACTAACCGTGGGAGGTTTTCATGGTTTTCTTCACCCCGCAACACAAATGTCGGTTAGTTCAATCAAAGGTCCTCCACAAAAGCTATTTTGTGGAGTCCTCCACAAAAGCTATTTTGTGTATAACTCCAAAAAATAAATATATCTTCATAACATATACTGACATAAAAATATCTACAATGGTTAAACAATGAATTAGATAGTGAATGGGATAATGACCCATACCGCGAAACTACCGTGTAAGATTTTAGTGTTTTTTCTCTCTAATAGAAAGACCTCTGAACCATATTGATAGAATTTTAGTATGCATGTAAAAATATGATAAATGGATCAAAAGTTATTTAGAGCTATATAGATTGAGGGGGAAAAAATTCCAACAGCAAGGAAAAAATATTGTTGAGTAATGAAATTTCGGCAATGCGTTTGTCTGAGTAACATATTTGATTGATTAACGTTTCAAGATCACAGGTTAATGCAATTAAGAGAAAAACCATTTCAAATGTGAAATATTGAACCGGTGTAACCACCAGAATTTTGAATCTAAGCATGCAAACAGGCATGCATTGTATCATACAGATGCAATATGTCATTTTGTGGGATGGAATTCCATACCTTTTGCACTTGGTCAATCAATACGGGGATAGTTAATGCTGGTTGTGGATGACGCTGATGTTATCTTCCAAAGGTGCCCAATGCGTGCTCATACGTGTTCCATATGAAAGATCTGGTGATCCAGTAGGCCAAGGCAACGTGTCGACTTTGGGTTACAACAGCAGTATGAGGGCGAGCGTTATCTTTTAATGCTGCTCAGAAATGTCAACAAAACAGGTTAGATCACAATGTTGACGAATAAATTTGCAGTCAAGGTGCGTGGAATAAAAACGAGAGTGCTCCTGCTGTCATAGGCAATTGCTCCTCAGACCATAACTCCTGGTGTAGGTCCAGTGTGCCTTCACCGGAGACAGGTCGGAAGCAAGAACTCATCTGGCTTCCTTCCAACTAATATCACTGTCCCCAAGGCAGTACCGATTTTCATTAGAAAATATGATTCAATCGATATAATGCAATATGTTTCTCTAAAAATTCAATAGATTTCCACTCTGCCCTTTAGTGACCTTTAATTCGACACCGACAGTGGTTTGGAGTGAGTGGAATGCAAGCTACAGGGCGTATCTCTCGAAGCTGTCCTTGAAATAAGCGATTTGTAACTTGTTGTGTTTCTGCAGTGCCAGCTGCAACTCGAATTTCTGATGCAGACGCATTAAGGTGCGCCATAGCCATACGCCGTACATGGCGGTCTATTGAGTAGTGCCGTGTAGGCGGCCAGAACCTGGTCTTCTTGAAGCAGTATCCTAACCTTGACTACTGCTGCCAACAATCACTGATTAGAGTCCTCCTGCAGTCAGACTAACCGTGGGAGGTTCTTGTTTCCATGTATTGCAAATGCGGGTTAGCTCCATCATAAAGTTCTCCACGAAAGCAAATTTCTCCCTATACTCGACCCAGGAGTTCCCTTGTCTTCTGGATTGGGTTTTAAATTACAAGGCTACGGAGTTGAACATTAGTAGTCGTAAACCTAATTAAAATTGGGTCGGCTGTTCAACGACGGTTATAAAATAAAAATAAAATCAATTGGCTTTAATTAATGAGTCTCTTGAAAAAAATCACACTTGGTCTTAAATCTATGAAATTAACTTGATTTAAATTGCAATTTTAATTATGATTTCGTGCCAACCTTGTACAAGGGTAAATATGTTTTTTTCCTTTTATTTTCAAGTGAATTGAAGGTCTGATTTAAGTTTAATTAAAAAAAAAAGGAAAAGTAACTGTTAACATTTGTCTAATCAATTTATCCGATTATATACAACTTTTCCCTAAATATTTCCTTATTTCTTTCGTGTGAACTCCGTTAATCAAATGAGAAAAAGAAAAAGACTCGCACAACTCTCCGCATATGTTATAGATTCTCTATAATTCCTATGTGTGAAAAGATTAAATTAATTACTTAGTCATGGACGATCTACTTTTTAATTTCGTATCTTCCGTTTGTTTGGCTGAGTTCATTCCATGCCAAGTGCGTTTATTTGTTCTGTTAGCAGATGTTAGATCGAAAGCACAAGGAAATATCTTTTCTCTGCTGTATTTGAGTTACCTGACTGAATCATTTTCATAACCTTATTTCTATAATACAATATGATAAATTGAATTTTCCAAAAGGATAAAAGTGGCTTTTATTTCGTGATACTTTTTGAATGAATATATTGGCGACTAATCTATAATGCCAAGGAAAATGTTTGGTGACATACTTACAGGTAAAATGAGTTTTAGTTTATATATTAAGTTGAATTTCTAATTATCTGTAAATTACTTTAAATGCTTTTATTATTTTCATACAGTGAGACCGTTCATCCCATTTTCATCCCGATTTTTGAGTTTTCAATTATTTTTTTTAAATTAAAGAATTTTTTTGTACTTTTGTAAATTATTTTTCGTGATATTTTTACACACTAAAGACAATCGCATTCAAATTTAGCACCCTAGAATTTTTTTTTTTTATTATTATGTTATTTTTTTTCGCAAAATAATTTTCTAAACCCAATTTCTCTCAATTTTTTCCACCCAAATTTTTAAATAACGATTATAAAAAAAAATCTATCTGTGGCATTTGTGTAAAATCACATCCAGTGGCGTACGCAGAATTTTTTCAATGGGGGTGTTCATAATTTTCTGAAACTACTAAAAGAAATTTGAATCTGTTATAAAGAACTATTATTTTCCTAATTTAGACAGCTGGACAATTTTGACTTTTTATTTAGACAACATTGTTTAGTTAAATTTTGATTTGATTTTTTAAGTTTAAGAACATAATGTAATATTTTCTCAAAAAAGTCCAATGTCATATGGGTGGAAAGTAACACTTTGAGGGCCACTTTCACATTCATCAGATTTTGTTATGCTAGAAACGTTTTCTTCAACGGAAGTATCACATTTCTGTACAACAGAAAAACTTACATTGGTACTAGATGCTGTCACCTCACTAATTTCAGGTCGTGATTTTTTCTCAAAATAATTAAAAATTGTTAAATTCTTGCGTTTTGACATCCTAAAGATCCAAGAACAGCAAATATATATATATTGGCACAGAAATATCCGCTATGCTACGATCTCAAAGTTTCGAGCTGGAATGAATAACTTCAACGAGCACAGTATCTCCAATGGTATTGTTACTGATTTCTTCACTAGTCGAAATAGTGGCGACGACGGGTTCGGCGATTGAATGAACTTTTTGTTAAGACAAAACAAAACAGATTTAGCGACAAGCTCCGAAAGACAAGCGGCAGAGATAACTCTTAGTCTGACTAACTAACTCCACTGTACTCCGTTCCCCCTTTTATATAATTTTTCACCGCATCTCCAAAATTCTCGAATTGTCTCAAAGACGACAGAACGTCTAGGATTCCAGAATCATCGCGTAAAGACCTCGCGAATGACAGCCAGTCTCGAAAACTATACTGGCAGGACAGAAAGGAACCAGTCCGTAACAGTATCACGTGAATTTGGTTTCAAAAGTACAACCCTATTATAGTAAATGTTTTTTCAGTATTCTGAGAAATACCGTGAGAAAAAAAAAGTAGGCATAAGGTTAATAAAAATATATAGTCTTAAAAAATAATAGCTCGCATAATTTCCACTAAAATTTTTATTTTTGCCATTTTGTCTGAGCTCAAGGGGGGTGTTTAAACCCCTAAACCCCTCCCTTGCGTACGCCACTGATCACATCTACCATTTCCGGCTAAATCTGAAAAATGGCGCCAAACAGCACGATTTTTCTCCAACAGTGTAAATCTGTTCACCAAATGAGAGTTTATCCCTTCAAAGTTTTTCATTAGCTTTTTGTTGCTGTTGTTAAAATATAATGAATTTAAAGTACTTTAATGTTTAATTATTTTTGAAAATTAGCTCTTCCACAAATTTTTTAATCGCAATTTATGAATTAATTTTTTGTTCTAAAACATAAATTTCAACTTTTTAAATTAAATTACCTTTTTGTTTTAATTGCCATTAAATATGTTCTTGTAACAATATGAAATGCGTTCCATTAGGCGGAATTCGCGCCAACTTTCGTAGTCGACGAGATTTTACACAAGTATTCTACCCATAAATTTTTGTCTGAAATTTTGTTGGAAACTCGGAAGTACAATTTCTATTTAAATTGAAACAATTTCGATGAAAAAATATTGTTTATATTATTTATTTTGATTTTTATATACATATTAAGTAGACTGAATTACTTGAATTTGCAAAGCAACAAGCGCCATTTTTATTACACAGATATCTGTTATGTGAAAATATCTGTTATGTGAATATCTGTTATACAAAATATCTGTTATGTGAAATATTAGTTATTTCTAGTATGTCCTGAAAAGACGTTTTCAGTTTTCCATGACACGATAAACGTGATAACAATCTCCCCTAACTTAAATTATACTTTGAAGGTAATTCGCATATCAAAAAAAAAATCATCACTTTTTTAAAAAAAATGTATTGTATCTATTGAGAAATATGAGAAAAATATGAACACGAAACTTCCAAAAAGCAATCATGTAGAAGCGAATTGAAAAAAATGTCGTGATATGACTTAAATTGAACAGACATATTGTTCGAAATGCCGAAATTTGTCGTGAAAAATAACTTTAAAACAACACCAGATTACAATTCGCAGATGAATATTGTGTTTCATCCATCCCCTGTCACATTTTTTTTTGTGCTAAAATGGAAAAAAGTAAGTTGATTTTCAATTCCTAACTTTTTTCTTTTTAAAGTTCTTAATAAACTTAAACTAATTATGAAATTATTAAACCTAAATATAAAAATTCATTAAAAGTGTAAAGGAGTGTTATCGTAATTCTGAATTTTAGTTTAAAAATCTCTTAAAATCAATAAAATACGAGCATTTGGAAAATTTGAGATTTTTTTTTAAAATTTTTAAGAAGAAAAATGACATTATTCTAATGGTAAAAAAAATGGTTTTTATCTCAAGTAAAGCGTGATATATGTCCCCACCCCCTATTCGAATGAGACAATCCCTATAAATGGGACAATAGATTTCAAACAACCCTTATGAATACGAGACAGGAGATGGTAAGAGAGACGAGAAATGAGATAACCTCTATAAATAGGAGACGGGAGATAAGAGACAATCTCTATGAATATTAACGGAGAGATGAGACAGCCCTTACGAATAACAGATAGGTATTGAGACAACTCATATAAATATGAGACGGGATATGAAACAATCTATACGGATAAGATGTGATCCCTATGAATATGAGACAAAAGATAACTTAAATCCTATTAATATGAGACAACCCCTAAGAACATGGTATTTGAGCAACCTTTCGTTTTGATGACTTGAGTCTTCAAAAGATTGCGAACAACTTTTTTTTAAGTTTTTTTTTCCCCCTTGGCATCGAACTTTAAATTTTTGATAAAAATTTGACTGCGCTTTTTTATTACCATCTTATTTCAAAAATATTATTGTAATGATGTTACATTCCAAAGATGCTAATGGGGGTTGTAAAACATAAAATGTTGAAGGGCAAAATTAGCGATCTTCACCGGCCACGAGGATAACTACGGAACTAAATACGAAAAAAGGCCGATTAAAAATTTGTTTGTACAACTCCAACTCCGTTTAGCTCCAAAATAAGTTGTTGTTGTTTCTAATGCCACTTGCCACACGAGCAAGCCTGCTTGGTTAAATCGAGCAAATTTAAGGCAGAGTGTGCGTTTCTAGTTTTTCAGTGGCGCCATCTATGGCCAAGAATTCGACTTCTGCCACACCATACGTCGCACCCGTTTATAGGGCGGACCCATTCATCCATCCATTCATTCATCCACAGATCATAATTTTGACCTGATTCAGAGAACGATCTATCTCCAATCCAGTACCCCCAGAGGTATTGATTTGTTATGGGAACATGGGGGGCTTTTGCGACTAGACAGATTTAACGTGCATCAGTCACTTTACCACACGGGGAGTCTTCGGTCGGCAGTGTTCGAACCCACTAACTCTCGGACATGGGCCCAGCGCCCTACCGACCCGACTATCCCGGCCTCCAAAGTACGTACTTTGAATACCTCGTATTATTTATTACATCGGGAAACTTTAATCACACTAGGAACGTTTGTATTATTTTACGCTACTTCAAAATTTGGATCTGGCAGATACAAAATTTGATTATGACTGGTTCTGAATTTGGTAATCAAAGGTTTCATTCAAGTTCAAGTTAATTTCAAGTTTTTTTAAATTTTTTTATGCCATATTAAATATTAATCTAATCAGTATAATTTCCTCATTATGATTGCTATTATTTCATATTTGTTTTATAGCGAAAACAGCTTATAATTGTTTATAAACATATATTTTATGTTTTATGCGTTCTGATGCAAGGCCAGTTCCTTCATTTCTACACAGTTCGGTCGGCAGTGTAGGGGTCAGGGAACTGGGCTTGCATCAGAAAGGTTCTGGGTTCGAATCCTGGACAAGCATGACTTTTCTTTTTTCTCTGTAATATATGTCCTTACTATGGAAGCAACGTAAGCCCATCTAATATGGTGCACCTGAAAGAGTGACCAACAAATCTGCCCTAATACGCCTGAATTGACAAAATGTCAACCCTGGTAGGCATTGGAAGAAAAAGAAATTTATATGTAGCATTCACTGTTGATTCAAAAACTCAAACCTTAAATTTTATTAGTTGAAAACAATGCAATGCTTAAATTTTACAAAAACCTACTTGGAAAGGCCAGGAAATTTTTTTGTACCTTTTAGAAATGAACAACCCTGTAGTGTTTACCATATTGTGAAAAATACCCCAAAAGAAATTATTTTTATTAATAATATCAACACTTTTTTACAATAGTTTAGAATTTTTAGTTTTTTAATAAAGTAACGGCTTGTTTTCAAAAGTGTTTACAATTAAAAATGTTTCTTGCTACTATTGGCCACTTTCAAAATTTAATAAATTTGTCCTATGACCACTATAAATGCATTAGACTTCCGCTTCTACCCTAAAAACCCTACTATTATGAGCATTTTGCCTGAGCTCGACTTTATATTCACTTTAAATACTCTTATACGAACTAGTTAATCAGTTATACACAATCTGCTGTATGCTTGTCTTATCTTTCGTTATAATTCCGAAAAGTGGGCCTGTTATTACTAGCGTATTTCTGAAGCTATCAAGCGTGCCCACTTTTCATTTGGGCAACCCTTATATTTTGCAAAAACCTCAATTTTTAAATTTCT